CGGGGCTCGGGGGGGTCCCGGGTTCGGTTCGGGGGTCCCGGGGGGGTCCCGGGGTACCTGAGAGCGGAGCGGCTCCGCGGCACGGGCGGGGGTCCCGGTGTGGCCGCGCCCCCCCGAGCGCGCGCTGCAGCTGCCGCCAGATGTGCCGGATGCGGGGGAGGGGACAGAGGTGTCACTTCGTGTTTCGGGTCCCCCGGGGCGGGGGGGAGGGGGGGAGGGGACATCCCGCAGCCCCGGTCTGTCCCGGTCTGTCCCGGTTCGTCCCGGGGCTCCCGGAGCTCTGGGGCAGCCCCTGGCCGGTTTTGGGGGGTCCCGAGCCCCCCGCAGCTGCAGGGCGGGGCTGTCCCCCCCCCCCCCCCGTGGGACAGGGTGGGGGCGGGGCGGCGCCAGGCCGGGGACGTGGTGACGGTGGCCATGGGGGTCTGTGGGGTGCCATGGGGGTCTCTGGGGTGCCACGGGGGTCTCTGGGGGTCTCTCACGGTGCCGTGCCCGCAGCGCCAGGCCGGGGACGTGGTGACGGTGGCCATGGGGGTCTGTGGGGTGCCATGGGGGTCTCTGGGGTGCCACGGGGGTCTCTGGGGGTCTCTCACGGTGCCGTGCCCGCAGCGCCAGGCCGGGGACGTGGTGACGGTGGCGTCGCGGTTCAAGCAGCGCTACGAGTGCCGCCTGCCCCCCGCGGCCGTGGGGCCCCCCCCGGGCCCCCCCCGCGACCCCCGGCTCTACAACGGCTCCGGCGTGGCCGAGCTGCTGCGGCCCATGGGCAGCGCGCCCTGCCTGCTCAAGGTGGGCACGGGGGGCACGGGGGGTGCCAGGGGGCATGGGGAGTGCCGGGGGGCACAGGGGGCACCGCACCCTACCTGCTCAAGGTGGGCACAGAGGGCATGGGGGGTGCCAGGGGGGCCTGGGGAGTGCCAGGTTGCTCAGGAGTGCCAGGAGGGCACAGTCTCCTCCAGCCTGCCCTTGTCCCCCCCATCCTTGGGCTGGCACTGTCACCTTCCTGGCCTTGTCCTGTGTCCCGGGCTGGCACTGGGGCTGGCACTGTTCTCTCCAGCCTGCCCCTGTCCCTTCTGTCCTGAGGATGGCACTGCCCTCTTCAGCCTGGGACTGGCACTGTCCCCTCCAGCCAGGGGGGCACAGGGAGTGCCAGGGGGCCACAGGGGGCATGGGGGGTGCCAGGGGGTCATGGGCGGTGCCAGGGGGGCACAGAGGGTACTAGGGTGGCACAGGGCTCACCAGGCTCTCCGCTCTTCCCAGACCAAGGACTGGTGGACGTACGAGTTCTGCTACGGGCGGCACATCCAGCAGTACCACCTGGAAGGTGACCCTGGGGACAGGGCGGGGGCACTGTGGCACCGCGGACCCCTCCCCATGCCCCTCAATGCGTGCCCTCTCTGTGCCCACCCTGCAGAGTCTGAGATCAAGGGCGACGTCCTGGTCCTGGGCTATTACCAGTCTGCCTTCGACTGGGACGACGAGACAGCCAAGGTGGGCACAGCGGGCAGGGGCAGCGCTGTGCCCGTGCCCACGCCGTGCCCACACCATGCCCACGCCGTGCCCACCCTGTGCCCACCCCTGCAGGCCTCCAAGCAGCACCAGCTGAGGCGCTACCACAGCCAGAGCTACGTGAACGGCTCCCGCTGCGACCTCACCGGCCGCGCCCGCGAGGCCGAGGTCCGGGTAAGAACGGCGGGCACGGGGGGCACGGCGGGCACGGGGGCACGGCAGGGCCTCACGCGGGGGCCGTGCCCGCAGTTCCTGTGCGAGGAGGGCGCCGGGGATTACATCGCCCGCGTGGACGAGCCGCAGTCGTGCCAGTACGTGCTGACGGTGCACACCACGCGCATCTGCCACCACCCCTTCCTGCGGCCCGCCCCGGGGCTGGCACCGCAGCCCATCCGCTGCCAGCCCGCCCTCTCGCCCGCCCAGTACGTCCAGTACGTGCGTGCCCAAGTCTGTGAGTACCAGGGAGGCCTGGCCAGGGGCTGGGTGTGGGGTTGGAGCTGTGTGCTGCTCGTCTTGAGGCTGGCACCGAGCCCTGGTGCAGGGCTGGCGCTGTCCTCTCCAGCCTGGGGCTGGCACTGTCCCTTCCAAACTAGAGCTGGCACTGTCTCTCCTAGAGCTGGCACTGTGCTCTCTATCGTAGAGCTGGCACTGTCCCCTCCAGCCTGGAGCTGGTACTGTACCTTCCAAACTAGAGCTGGCACTGTCTCTCCTAGAGCTGGCACTGTGCTCTCTATCGTGGGACTGGCACCATTCCCTGTGCCAGGGCTGGCCGTGTCCCCCGCAGCGTGGAGCTGGGGCTGTCCCCCAGCTGTGCTGTCGCTGTCCCCCGTGTCCCCAGCTGACACCAAGAGGAAGGTGGAGGAGATCTCGGAGGAGCTGCGGACGCTGGACACGCGGCTCTGGAGTGACAGGGACAGCGAGCCCCCCTCCCAGAGCCCTGGGGACCCCCAGGAGGGTATGGCCCTGTCCCCTCCTGGCGGTGCCAGCACTGCCACTGTCCCCTCTGCCCCTGGGAGCCCCCCTGGCTGTGGGCTTGGAGCTCCCAGTGCCAGGCGTGTCCCCCTGTGGCAGCTGTGCCCCCCCCTGTGCCAGGGAACCAGGCAGAGCCAGCCAGGGATGTGCCAGCTGGGCAGCAGGAGGTGACAGCCACAGGCAGCGAGCAGCAGGACAGCACCAGGGTGAGTCCCAGTGGCCCTGGGGACATTCTGGGGGTCACTTTGGGGGGTTCAGAGTCCTGCTCCATGCCCTGTGTCCTCCCTGCAGGAGCCGTCCCCGAGGGCAGCTGGCGGTCGGGCAGCTGGTGAGTCCTGGGGTGTCCTCCCCGTGTCAGCTCCATGCCCACCCCGTGTCCCCCGTGCCCCCCAGTGTCCCCCTGCCACTGCCACCCCCCTGTCGTGGCTTCCCTCCCAGATCCACGGAAGAAAATCCACTTCAAGGTGATCCGGAGCCCCGGGGACCTGCTGCAGTTCATCGAGGAGCTGAAGGAGACCACCAGGAAGGTGGGCACCTCCCGCTGCCCTCGGGCCCCTCCGTGCCTCAGTTTCCCCTGACCCCCTCCCCACTGCCTCAGGCCAAGGAGAAGGCGAGCGAGGAGGAGGAGGAGGAGGAGGCAGCAGCCAAAGCTGCCCCAGCCCCACCTGGCCCCACAGAGCCCCCCGGCCCCGAGACCCTGCCCGGCCCCGAGGCCCCCCCCGCGGGGGAGGAGGAGGAGGACGATGAAGAGGAGGATGAGGATGAGGAGGAGGCAGGGCCGCTGCTGGCAGGGCTGGAGCTGCTGCCACGGGAGCAGGTGGCGAGGCTGAAGGAGGAGGTGAAGAGCCAGATGGAGCAGGAGTTCGACAGCATCATCAGCGAGGTGGGACCCCTGGGCTGGGACCCCCAAAGGGGCACTGGGACCCTCCCCTGGCTGGGCTGGGACCCCCACAGGGGCGCTGGGGCCCCCACAGGGACATTGGGACCCCCTGCCTGGGCTGGGACCCCCACAGGGGCGCTGGGACCCCCACGGGGACGTTGGGACGCCCACAGGGACATTGGGACGCCCTGCCTAGGTTGGGACCCCCACAGGAGTGCTGGGACTCCCCAAGGACACTGGGATCCCCCTGCCTGGGCTGGGACCCCCACAGTGGCACTGGGACCCCTCTCTGGTCTGGGACCCCCACAGGGACACTGGGCCCCCTCTCACTGGGCTGGGAATGCCCTGGCTGGGCTGGGGACCCCTGGGAGGTTTGTGACCCCCGGGCTGGGCTGGGGAGCCCCTGGGGGGGGTTGGGACCCCCTGGCTGGGCTGGGGACCCTGTGGGATGGCCAGGGCCCCGAGCCGAGACGGGGCCAGCCTGGGGCCAGCCTGGGGGCAGCGTTTGTGGCCCGGCTGCTCCGGGTGCCCGCTGGCCAGGCCGGGAACCCCCTGCCCGCCCCCCCGCAGGTGGAGGACGAGCTGGAGACCGAGGGGCTGAAGGGCGAGTTCGACCGGAGCCGCGCCACGCGCACCCTGGCGACCACCCTGAGCCGCCTGATGGAGCGGCTGGACAGGGCCGAGCCCCGCCGCGACCCCCCCGGGACCCCCCCGGCTGCCGGGGCCCGCAGGGAGGAGGAGGAGGAGGAGGAGGAGGAGGAGGAGGGGGGAGCCGCGAGGAAGGGCGGCCCCCGGCCGGGCAAGGACGGGCGGGTGCGGGTGAGGACGGGCAGGGTCGGCAGCCGCGACCCCCCCCAGGAGGGGGAGCCTGGCCGGGGCAAGCAGGAGCCCCCCCGGGAGGAGCGGGAGCCCCCCCGGGGAAAGCAGAGCCCCCCGCAGCTGCCGCAGGTGGAGAGCGAGGTGCGGGAGCTGCTGGCCAAGGAGGGGCTGCGGGCTGAAGGTACGGGAGAGCCCCCCGCCCCAAATTAACCACCCGGGCCCCAAATGAACCCCCCCCCGCCCCAATTCAACCACCCTCGAGCCCCAAATCAACCCCGCCGGGCCCCAGATCAACCCCCCCGGGCCCCTCCGCAGGGAAAATCGAGATCAAGATCGTGACGGCGTCGTCGGGGGGCGAGGAGGAGGAGGCGGCGCAGTGGCTGTCGGAGGAGGATTCCCGCAGCCTGAAGGAGATCTTCCTCAGCATAAGGGGCTCCGAGGGAGGGGGGCATGACTGAGGCTCGGGAGAAGGAATTTATGGTGGTGGGGGAAAGCAGGGACGCAGCTGAGGTGGGGGAAACTGAGGCACGGCAGGGCTGAGGGGTGGGGGGAAACTGAGGCACGGGGTGGAACTGAGGCGGGGCAGGGTTGGGGAATGGGAGGAGCTGAGGAATAACAGGGAAACTGAGGCACGGGGGAACACACGGGTGGAGAGAGCGGGGACAGGACAGAGGTCAGGGGGAGCTGAGGACAGAAAAGTGGGGTACAGGGGGGCAGTGAGGCAAGAGGGGGGCACAGAGGTGAAGGGGGCACTGAGATGAGGGAGGACACAGGTCAGGGAGGGCACTGAGGTCAGGGGGGCAGGGAGGTGAACGGGTAGCACCGAGGTGAGGAGGGGGCATGAAGTGAGTGGGCACTCAGGTGAAGGGGGGCACTGAGGTGATGGAGGGGGCGCAGAGGTGAGGGGGGCACTGAGGTCAGGGGGGCACCGAGGTGAGGTGGGCACAGAGCTGAGGGGCACAGAGCTGAGCAGGCACAGAGGTGAGCGGGCACTGAGAGGGGCACAGGGCTCAGGGGGCACTGAGAGGGTCACAGGGCTGACCGGGCACAGAGAGGGGCACAGAGCTGAGCGGGCACTGAGGTGAGCAGGCACTGAGAGGGGCACAGGGCTGAGAGTCACAGGGCTGAGCGGGCACTGAGCGGGGCACAGAGAGGGGCACAGAGCTGAGGGGCGCAGGGCTGAGCGGGCACTGAGAGGGGCACAGGGCTCAGGGGGCACAGAGAGGGGCACAGAGCTGAGGGGCGCAGGGCTGAGCGGGCACTGAGAGGGGCGCAGGGCTGAGCGGGCACTGAGAGGGGCACAGAGCTGAGGGTCACAGGGCTGAGGGGCACAGGGCTGAGCCGGCGCCCTCCCCAGGTGCAGGGCACGGAGGAGGCGCAGAAGGAGCGGCGGCGGCAGCAGGCGCTCGAGGACAATTACCGCTTCGTCTGGGGGGGCCGCGAGGAGCCCCCCCCGCCCGCTGACTCCGAGGACCAAGACTTCTGATCCCCCAAATCCTGAGCCCGTAAATCCTGAGCGTGCCCCCAGAATTGTGGCTTCATCCCTGCCCTGGGACCGGGCACGGGGCACCCCAAGGACCCCGGTGTCCCCGACCCGGGGGGAGGGCACTGTGCCCCCCGGGGGACCCTGCCCTGCTGGGGGATGGCACCGTGCCCCCCCAGGACCCTGCCCTGCTGGGGGATGGCACCGTGCCCCCCCAGGACCCTGCCCTGACATCGGGTGCATTTGTGACACAGCTGACCTAGGGGGGAAGGAGTGGCCGTGATTTGGGGGTGGGAGGGTTTGGGGGGGTTGGGAGGGGGGGGGGGGGTATGGGGGGGGGGGGGTTCCTGTTGCCACTGGAGCCGTTCGTGCTGCCCCCGGCCCGGGGGGGTCTCTCTCTCATAATGAGATGTCGCGGGGTCGTTCGCCCCCCCCCTTTTATCAATAAACCGAGGTCGCCTGAGCGTGCCCCCAGAATTGTGGCTTCATCCCTGCCCTGGGACCGGGCACGGGGCACCCCAAGGACCCCGGTGTCCCCCACCCGGGGGGATGGCACTGTGCCCCCCCAGCACCCTGTCCTGCTGGGGGATGTCACCGTGCCCCCCCAGGACCCTGCCCTGACATCGGGTGCATTTGTGACACAGCTGACCTAGGGGGGAAGGAGTGGCCGTGATTTGGGGGTGGGAGGGTTTGGGGGGGTTGGGACCCCCTGGCTGGGCTGGGGACCCTGTGGGATGGCCAGGGCTGCCAGCAGAGACGGGGCCAGCCTGGGGCCAGCCTGGGGGCTGTGTCTGTGTCCCCCCCCCCGTGTCACCTTCCCGGGGTCTTCATTCCTCGCCCCCCACTCCCAAAATTGCGGGCAGGGGCGGGGCCGTGGGCGCGGCAGCCAATCAGAATTAGGGCGGGGCCAGGGGTTCGCCCGGCCTCGGCCAATGGGAGCGCGGGGGGCGGGGAACGCGGGACCCCCGGACGGTCCGGGACCACCAAAACCCTCGGGGACAGCGGAGCCACCGGCACCGACGGGACCCCCAGGAACCCGAGGAGCCCCCGGGACCCCCGGACCCGCTGGGACCCAGCAGGGCTCCCAACCCACCCAGGAACCAACCGTGGCACCCCCGGAGGTCACCACTGTCCCCCCCTAACTGAAAACAGGGGTTCAGTGTCGCCCACCCTGCACCCTCTGGATTTGGGGTGCCCGTTCAGTGCCACCCTGGATTTGGGGTGCCCGTTCAGTGCCCCCCTGGATTTGGGGTGCCCAGCTCTGGTGCCGTTCCTGCCCCGTGGGTGTCCCCCCTCTCCGTGTGTGTCACCCCCACCTCCGTGGCTCTGTCCTGTCCCCCGCCTCCCACGGGCTCCCCCCGGCCGGTGGCAGTGGCCGATGAAGCCGCGGGGGCTGGGGGGTCCCGGGGGGGTCCCCACTGACCCCCACATTCCCAAGCCAGGTGCCCCCATGCCGCTCCTGAGCCCGCGCCTCTGCTTCCACGGGGGCCTCTTGGTGGCCTTCATCACCACCTTCCTCCTCCTCCGCGGCCTCCTGCTGCCCCCCGGGACCCCCCGGGACCCCCCGGTCCCCCGCGCTCTGCGGCGCGGCCCCGTCGGGCGCTGCAGGTGGGCGCTGCCAGGGCGGGTGGCACTGGGGGGGACACGGGGGACGCTGCTGGGGTGGGGCTGGCGGGGCAGCGGGGGGGTCCCGGGGGTCTCACCCCCTCTGCTCCAATGCTTGGGGACAATGACCCGCCCTGACAGTGACAGCGCGGGGACAGCGGGCTCTGAGCTCCGCGCTCCTTGGAGCTGCGAGGTTTGATTGCATCCAGAGCGATTTTCTGCGCACAGCCAGTAACGCCTCAGCAGCACAAATCTGTATTTCGGCGTTGATAACTGCGGAGGGAACAGCTCCTGTGTCCCCTCAGCACCCCAGACCTGGCTCAAACGGTGTCACACGGGTGCGGGTGCCGCGCTGGGTGATGGCAGCGCCCCAAAACCCGCAGAGCAAACCCCTCTCCAGTGCGACACCGCCCTGTCCGTGAGCTCCGAGCCCGCCCCGCTCCTCCCGGCCCGGGGCTGCGGGTGCCCGGGGCCGGCTCCGTGCTCAGCCGGGCGGCACCGGCGGCACCGAGGAGGACGCGGCGCTGGAACGGTGCCTGGAGAGGCTGCGGTGGCCGTGGGAGACTCGCGGGACGCGTGGGGACCGGGGACCTTCCATCCCTGCCCGCCCGGGGCTTGTGCCAGCGGGGTTACTGCTGGCACCCCGTCGTGGAGGCGGGTCACAGCCCAAGCGGGGACCCGGGGCAGCGGGGGGGTCCCGGGGGTCTCACCCCCTCTGCTCCAATGCTTGGGGACAATGACCCCCCCGACAGTGACAGCGCGGGGACAGCGGGCTCTGAGCTCCGCGCTCCTTGGAGCTGCGAGGTTTGATTGCATCCAGAGCGATTTTCTGCTCACAGCCAGTAACGCCTCAGCACCACAAATCTGTATTTCGGCGTTGATAACCGCGGAGGGAACAGCTCCTGTGTCCCCTCAGCACCCCAGACCTGGCTCAAACGGTGTCACTCTGCCAGCGGGTGCGGGTGCCGCGCTGGGTGATGGCAGCGCCCCAAAACCCGCAGAGCAAACCCCTCTCCAGTGCGACACCGCCCTGTCCGTGAGCTCCGAGCCCGCCCCGCTCCTCCCGGCCCGGGGCTGCGGGTGCCCGGGGCCGGCTCCGTGCTCAGCCGGGCGGCACCGGCGGCACCGAGGAGGACGCGGCGCTGGAACGGTGCCTGGAGAGGCTGCGGTGGCCGTGGGAGACTCGCGGGACGCGTGGGGACCGGGGACCTTCCATCCCTGCCCGCCCGGGGCTTGTGCCAGCGGGGTTACTGCTGGCACCCCGTCGTGGAGGCGGGTCACAGCCCAAGGGGGGACCCTGTCCCCGTCTGGGGGGTGGCTGTGACCCCCCCACAAGTGGCCGTGCACCCCCTGCAGGCCAGACCCCCATGTTCATCCTCAGTACCCCACAGTGGCCACTGTCTCCCTGGGAGTGGCCACAGCCCTCCTCGGGTGGCATCTTGGCTGTCACACAACCGCGGACCCCTTGTGTGGCTCTGGTGTCCCCGCCGTGCGTGGCCACCACCCCCCGTGTCACCTCCTGTGGCTGTGACACCCTCGAGGTGCAGCCACGTGCCACCCCCGTGCCTGGCTGGCGTGTCGTGCCACCACGGCTATGGGGGGCCACGGCATCGCCCCCCAAATCCCCGTGAGGTCCCCAACCATGGCCAGGACATTCCTAGGCTGTGTGTGACCAGCGTGTCCCCCACGTGGCCACCGTGTCCCCCTCACACCTGGCCGCAGGTGCCCCCCGTGTGCCCACGGTGCCCTTGGTGTTCCCTGCACGGCCACGATCCCCCTCCCCTGGCCGTGACCCCCAGCGTGTCCCCCCCGCGTGGGGCCCAAACTCCAGCCGTGGTGTCCCCGCTATCACCAGTGTCCCCTCCGTGCCCCTGTGGCCTCTGTGCTGGCCCTGCCCCGGGCAGGGGCTCTGCTGACCAGGAACAGCCCCCAGCGCCCCTTCCCCACCCTGCCCGTGGCACCGAGGGGGTGGGGGGCTCTGGGTGCCCGGTGCCACACCCCCGCGACCCCCAACGCCCCCGGGACCCCCGCGGTCCCCAACGCCACCCGGAGCCACCCGGGTCCCCAGGCACCCAAATCCCCCGAGCCCTGCCCGTCCCTTCCCGGACCCCCCCGCGGGGAAGTGCCCCCAAATTCGGGGGGTTCCTACAGTGGGGTGTGCAGGGAGACCCCCCCCCTCACATCGCCCCGTTCCTGGGACCCCAAATCCCCCGAGCCCCCCCGTGTCCGGTGCCCCCCCACAACCCCGCATCCCCGGCGGACCCGCGCGGCCCCAATTAGCGGCTGTTAATGAGCTATGCGGGGAGAGGATGGCCTTGATTCGTGGGGTGCGAGGGACAGGGGGACAGGGGGACACGGTGTGAGCTGGGGACAAGGACGGGCCCTGCAGCTGCAGGCGCCTCTGAGCTGGTGGCAGTGAGGGACAGCGGGGCTGGGGGGTGGCAGGGGACACCTCGGGGACAGCCCGGGTGGCGATGGGAGCGGCGGCCGGGGACGAGGAGGGGACAGTGAGGAGGGGACAGTGAGGAGGGGACAGTGGGGGAGGAGGCTGCCCAAGGCTGGGGGGCGATACAAGACAAGATGGCCGATGTTGACACCCCTGTGTCCCTGAGCCACTCCTTGTCCCCGCACAGCCCCCCCGAGCCCCCGCGTGTCCCCTCCCCACCTCCGCACGCCGCTGTCCTGCGGTGTTGGCTCCACCCAGTCCCTCAGGCCACGCCCACATATGGTCACACCCCACTAAGCCCCGACCACATAGCAGGCACAGCCCACTGCACTCGCCTGTTTGGCCACGCCCACCTTATTTGCATCACATCGTCCTCTACCTATCAAGTCCCGCTCTTTTGAATATCAATATGCTGGTTCACCACGCCCCCTTGTTTATATCAGGTCACCGCCCCTCCGGCCCCGCCCATCTCATTACTATGTAAACCCCGCCCCTGCTCAGGTGGCCACACCCCCTGCGGCGCTGCCCCGCCCCCAGGCCCCGCCCCTGTCGCTGTGTGCCCCTCCCCCGTGGTGCCCCTACCTCGGGTCATTGACCCCCGAGTGCCACCTCTGTCACCCACCCCGCGTGTCCCCCCTGTCCCCCCCCCCCCGCGTGACTGCGTCACTCACCCGCC